TAAATCTTTCCACAGATCTCCAATTTCATTGTGGACTTTGACTGAACCATGTCTTTGTACTTTGACTGAACCATGTCCCACGTTCAAGTAAATCTCCTACTGGGAGGTGAACTAATTTGCAGCCTATAAAGCCAGGGTTATGCCTTCAAATGCCAGATATCTTGAAGGAACTCAAATTTTCAGAAAATCTCTTTTCACTGAAGTTTATATTTTAAACATGTTCTGCAAATCAAATGGTAGCAGAAGAAAAATCTATGTAGAAAGTGCATTAATAATATAATTGTAAGAACAAATTTGGCCTCAGAATTTATTTGTAGCTGTCTTTACAAGTCTTTGAACATTTCGGTGTAAACATTTTGTCAGCGTTTATGTTCAATCATTCATCCAACCAGAGTATCTTCTTGGGATCAGTTTTATTATTTAGAGCTGCATTTCTGATTTTAGTGCCATGACAGTAATTTAAATGTTCAATTAAAAAAAAGAAATCAAAAAATGCGCCACACAATTGAAAATCTGCCTGAACCACTCATGCATGAGGGAGAACAGGATTTCAACTCAGAACGTTCTTACTGCAAAGCAACAGCGTTAACACCGTGTCACCAGGACTCATTGGATCAGAGGAACTTCTTCCAAATGTTTGCCTTCCCTCCTACATGGATTGCAACAAACTGCAAACAAGATGTTTTCTTTCAGCACTGGCTTTCTTCTTTCACTTCTGTAAAGGCAAGATGTGTTGCATGCATTTATCTTGTTTCCATCTGAGCTGTGGATTCTGTCCTGGTGGGCTTGGAGTTGCTTTGTTCTCAGAGATGCATTATTGTACAGTATGACCTAACCCTGCTTTAAACATCTTCACATCTTTGTATCTTACTCCTTTGTTCCTTGGTCTTCACTTATGTCCAAACTTCTGAGGCCTTCAGCTGGATATATACACACAGGCGGACTCTCCTTACTAACTAGGGGATTCTAAATAAAGTTGGTTTTACTTTGATTTCTTTAGAAATATCACAGTAAAGGAAACGGAGTGCTTTGTGTTTCAAGTTTTGTTTTGTAATCACACAAATCACACTTTGTTTTTATATATTTTTTATTTTCTTTGTAAAATCCTGCATCCTTTTCACAGTTTGCAGTTGTTTATGATGTAAAATCACAGATTGAATTTTGAGGTTTTTGTCTGTTGACACAGTTTCTAAAGAATCGAGAGGTATGGGTATCGCAAGACATTGTCAAGGTTGTCTCTGTGAAGCTCAACAAACGTTTGGAGGAGTCTAAGTTGGATTTTTTTGTTTTTCAGTTTCAGACATTGTTCTGAATTTGATTCCAGTCAACTTTGCATAGCCTGGTGTCATCCTTACTCAACATCACTTTCTCTTCTCGAGCCTTTTTACTACTCCTCTCTTTCAGTTGATGCTTCTTGTCTTTTTTTGGCCCGCCCCGCTCACTCCCTTCCCAGTCACCCTCGTCTAGTCCCTGCCGATCTCATCCTCCACCTCTGTGTCCTCTAACCACTTGACACCATTTCAGATTCATCCCCATCAGTTGGCAGACAGCGTGCATTTCACCCGCAGGGCACAATGCAGCGATCCTCATGAATCAATGGCAGATAAATCAATGCTATCTCTTTTTTCCATGCCTCTGTTGCCATCGATTTCCTTCCCCTCTCTCTCTCTTTCTCTCTCGCTGTTGCTTTGCTGTTTGTGGAATCTTCAACTTTGCTCAATTAAACTGAGTTCACTTTCAGGAACAAATTGTATCAGCGTAAGGCTTTCAGCTCTAAGACAGACACTAATGTTTGTGGCTGGAGCTTTTATTTATGAGATGCTCAGTTCAGAGAAATACCACGTGGTGATTTATTTATTTATTTTTTTGGTGAGGCTGAACCTGAATTTACTGGTACCGTGAACCCGCTTTCCAACGAGGCATGCAAAATGCTTGGCTTAATTGAGACTTTTCAGTTTGAGCCAGAGCTAATGTCTAAAACAGAGACAAAGCGAATATCCTTTGATCATATTTACTGGGAAAGAAGGAGACGCAATTAGTATGTAAATGAGCTTTTCCTTTGGTGTTTTAGTGAAACAGTTATAGGTTTTTCCTGGCAGGGAAATATCTAAACATGATTTTATTTCCATTCATCCGGCTTTGCAGTCTGTCAGAGGGAATGATTTCTGAGAAATGCAGAGACACATACATATTATTCTGAAGACTACATTTAATATAGCCCACAGAAAATTATCCACTGTGATATTTCACTAGTCTCCCCCATAAATAATTCATTGTTTTTATGTGCCCTCATGCTGCCTTGGGGATTGGAACAGCTGAGTGTTTTCACAGCATATTTGAGTCCAATCTTCTGCATATTGGGCGTGCTCTAATCAAACCACGGTAAACATGCCTTGAATGTTTGTTGAGTCATCTGCTTATCAGCTAATCAAACGACTTATTTGCCTGCGCCGCTGCCTCGGTGGTGAACGGCACAGCTCCAGTTTAGTATTTTTCAATTATTTGTTCATCTGTTTGATCGACGCTGCAGCCGTGCAGCGCAGGTGATGTGGGTGAACTCCACAGGCTTTAGTGCATGATGTGTAAGTGCACCAAGGCAGCAGAGAGGAAGAGTAATTGAAGCTAATACATTTAAGGGATCTACTGAGCAAGGCGATCCATTGTTCTGGAAACTTTCTCTCTTCTGGAGCATACGTTCAGCCGTTTGTGCGATTTCTCATGTGGGTGCAAGACCTCATGAAAGACCTATGCGTGCACAGAGCATGTGGTTGTTTCTTTTTGTGAAAGGACTAGCATGAAAGTGCAAGTCATAGAGAAAATTTCAAAGGCAGGAGCCAGGACGACGACATCGAGCTGCCAGGGATTGGTGAGCAATCAGATAGGGCAGAATTGATGACCTGGCTCAGGATGGATTTCTTGGAGCGGGCTGCCAGACCGAGGTAATACTTTCAGGCTCTTATCAGCACTGGCATAAGCTGAGTGCTGCATCACCCACTTCCCAGCGTCAGCTTATTATGAGAGTCCATGATGTGTGATTGCTTGTACCGGCTTTGTGAGTCCCAGGGTCTGTGTGCACAGGCCACAGCCACCAAGACGAGGAACAAACGCAGAGCCACGGTCAAGGTGCTCTGCTCACTTCCTTGCTGCTCTACTGACATTTAGCCAAAAACAGGCACTTTGCAAAGTTTCATGTTCCTTATGCAAGGTGACCTGTATTAATACCCACAAAACCTTTTCACATTGTGCCACATTATAATCAGTTCATTTTATTTTGCTTAGATTATGTGATAGTCTAACACAGAATTGTGCATAATTGAGAACTTTAAGGATAATTCAACGCCGCATCTGTATTTCCTTCAAAAGTTGCCTCCGTGTGTAACATAATCTCAGTATAAATCAATTTTTTTTCTGTGAAGGTCTCAGAGATTTGTTAGGGAACATTAGTGAACATTTGGCATCATTAAGAACAAGGAACACAGCAGACAGGGCAGGGATAAAGTTATGGAGAGGTTTAAAGCAGGTTTAGGCTATAAAACAACATCCTTATGTAGCACTATTGTGGCACTAAAAGCTAGATGTAGCTAGATGAAACAACTACTGGAGCTGATGTCAGTAAAAAAATAAAATAAAAAACAACAACAGAGAAAACGATGCTTGGATGCAGTACCATGAACTTGAAAATTAAAGTAAACAACACAAAAAAACTTGAAAATACATAGAATAATGACAACACTAATGCTGGTATTTTGTGCATCAGCGTTTGAATTATGCAGCATTTAAACTACCGGGGGAAAAAAGAAAAAAGTTTTACTGGAAGAAAGTTGATCCAAAAATCTGGATGCTACCAGATTTTTGGAACATATGAACATATATCAGAACATATGAGCAAAATGTTGTTGTTTTTTCAGTGTTGTGCTTTAAACTTATCTGTGCCACAACTGGTCAATGCTAATTTTAATATCAATGTTTCATCAGATCATAGCAGATTCTAATACAAAATTTATGGTCCAGAAATATTTACACATGTAGCAGTTGATCTCTATTTGTTGAAAAGGTCTTGCCTTTTTGTCGGTTTTGGAGAAACATCTGGCTGTTGTAATGTCACTGCTATCCCATATTTTCTCAAACTGATGAACACTGTTTCACTGGGCTGCGATGTGGTAGATTTGTATTTGCCTCCCCTCTCCTGATTGTCGCCTTTGTATAAAGAAGATTCTTTCCATCCCATGTCACTTCTCTGCAAACCAAAAGCGTCAACAAGGCATTACCTTGCACTGGAGCTTGCAAATTTTTAATCTTATCTTTTTTTTTGTTTGTTTGTTTTCACAAAGACATAGTGTGTCATATTAAAGGTGGAAAAAGTGTTCAAATGACTCATCCTGGCTTCAATTTATAACACAAACCTATGGAATTTTTAGAGTCATTATTATGGCCTCTTTTAATAAACTTCTCACTAAAAATATGTTTAAAGTGTTAAATTATGAGACTTCAACCTGTTAATGACACTCTAAAGTCACTAATTCATAAACAGTACTTCCATTAGGCTGAAAGAAATCACATCTCATCTCATTCCGATCTCATCAGGACCTTTATTTCTCCCTACAGACCAGCCACGAAGCAGAACAGCCTGCCGGACTCTCTTGGGTCCCTGCCGGGTTCTGTTCGTCCCATTAGAGGATGCTGCCTTCAGCCCTCAACCGGAAAGCTAAATAAGAACAGAAACGTTGCTTTGCTTAAAATAAGTTGATCAAAGATCCCCATCTCCGTCCTGCCACTGCAATTTATGTCAAATCCTTCTCCTTTTTTGTTATCTTCCGCGTATATAAACAACGTGGTTTCAGACGCTAAGACGCCGGAGCGTCTCTATGGTAACAGCCTTCAATTACCGGTGATTGGCCAGCCCGTGGGAATGTGTCTATTCCCCGAGCTATGTGATTGGTCGGTGGGCGGTCTGAACAGCCTGACAGTCTGCAGCGTTCCGGGTTATTGTCAGTCGCGGCGGTTCGGCAGAAGGGCAGGACCGCGTCCCCGGAGCTGCCTCAAGCAGCTAGCTCTTTATTCAGACGGAGCAGTTTCTATATTTGGTTTAAACGCCAAAGAGAGGCTGGTTGAGTTTCGCCACTGAGGTTGTTCCAAGACCGCATGTGGAAATCTGCGTCTGAATCCGGAGGAAACGCATCCAAGAGAGAGAAACCTGCCGACCCCCTCAGAGAAAGTGACGGACGGAGCAGAGCCTGATCGCCGGGATTTTTTTTTTCTTTTTTGCATCAGTTTAGGATATTCCAGGCTGCTGCTTTTGGCCCTGCCTGGATTTCGTTCAGGGTATATCAACACAATAATTGCCTGAATCATATTCCTAAACATTTACTTTTGCAATCTATATTTTTTTTTTTAAAAATTGCTCATAAGAAGGAGACGGACCCATGCGTAATAACAACGCTGGATTTTTATTATTTTTTATTTTTTTTGGAATACTGCGTAAAACAGTCCAGTTTTTCATTGTTTGGAAGTATTCTCAAGCGACAGAAAAGAGCGAGTGTTTCTTTTCACTTTGCTTTCAGAGGTTAAGCGCTGAAAAACGAGAAGCGCTTCTCGGTGCGCAATCCTTCCGAGGACGCTTCTGAGAGACTCCGCCGACCTGCGCTCTTAACCTCCACATTCTATCGGCAGCCGAGTCGAGCTAATAAAAGGGAGGAGGAAAAAAAAAAAAGGGGGGCGAAGCTTATTAACTTTGCATGCTCAAGGCGAGATTGTGGAATCTTTAATTTTTGCATACCACTGGAAGACGAGGATAAACTTAATCAGCATTGAATCTTTGCAGAGGAGCAGCAGCAGCTGGATTTCTGGGGGGAAGCGGAATGAATCCTTTTTAATTTGGCCCAAAGAAGAATGAGGCAGATTGCTTAACGATTGCATGGAGTTCTAGTCTGCGATAAGGAACAATTTATGGTAGGTATATTTAGCTTTTTTTTTTCTCTCTCTCCTTGTCTGAATGTTGTTTTTTTCCTGCCTAGATGAATTCTTTTACGATAAAGGATCGCAACACACGGATGTCTCTGATTTAAAGCCTTTGTTTCCATACGTGACCCACAATAAACGCAGCGTTGTTAGAGAGAGCCGAATAGCTTTAGGAACTGCTTTGATGTTTTAATATTGGGGCTTTTTTTTTTCAAGTAAGGGTAGCAATTAAGCGTGTTGTGGAGGGCAGTGCACCGCGGGCACCGGTGGCGCTGGGAAAGAGAGAGAGAGAGGGAGAAAGGGAGAGATTGCGGCTCAGAGCAAAAGGTGCGAATTTTTCATCTGTCTATACGCCCCCGTGCGTCACTGCTGTACAGTCTGGTGCAATTAGACATTTTCCCACTCATATATCATCCCTTACATGTAATTGTGTCGGAGGGGCTTGTGTCGGGGGTATTCATAAAATGCTCAGAGAACCGTGTGTAAAACTTTTTCACTTAACGCTCTCAGTGTCTGCAGCGAGACCCTCCATCCCTGCAGACGCCTCCCCTCCTCTGCTCGGGCTGCTTATTGTAGGTGCATCTGAAATTCACGCCTTTCCTCGAATATAAATGCGAGTTAATAAAAGTCAGAGTCTGAACTTTGAGCCTCGCCGGCTTGCTGAGGTTGCTTTGCAATATTTAGCCTCATTGCTCACGCTGCAAAGAGACGAGCTTCACATTATGCTGACTGAGCAGTGGAAAAAAAAAAAAAAAAAAAAAGCTGCACCAAGTGTGTTTTATCATTAGACTGTACAAGCATCCTTCCAAATTGATCTTCCTCTCGCTGGCTCCAGTCATGCTCTGTCTCGCAGCCCTGCAGATTGGGCCGGCTGACTGAATGTAATATGGAGAGGCCCCCTCCTCCTCTTACTCCTCCTCCTCATCTTCCTCCACCACCAGCAGCAGGGACGGCCGGCGCCCCCACAGTCAGGGCACCTGCCATCGAGTCCTTCCTGGCTGTATTGAATAAAACATCCAGTGATGTATGAGACAGGAGCTGCACCCGGGGGGACAGAACTGCCTCATTTACTTCCTCCACTCCGCGCCTATGACCTGCTGAGCAAATTGTGCTCATATTAGCTCTGTGGCTGCTCCTCACCTAAACAAATAGTCTCCCCAGCATAATGCTTGCCTTAACTCAACATGATGGTTGGACAAAAGCATGGGAGAATGGAATGGCATGGGGGGGTAAGCTTCAATATCTGGGTCACTGAGTTATCTTTTCGGAGTTTGGAGTTGTTGTTTTTTTTTCTGCCTCTTTGTCTTTTGGCTTACTGTTAGATCTCCTTTTTGGACCTTCATATCTCCAAAGCGTTCCTCATTTTGTAGCTTTCTTTATTCATTAAAAAGGAGGATGATTGGTACTTTTAATACGTTAAAACCAGTGGCCCCATCAGAGGGGAACCCGTGGGGAACCGTGTCCACCCCTACAAATTTGCGCCACTCTGTTGGCCACCCTATTGCCAGACAATATATTATGCATAAAACGCTTTCTTCTTTTCTCCCAGGTGTTTTTCACGAGTACTTTCCATTTAATTTGTTTCATATTGACTTTTTAATATGCTAAAAAAGAAGACATCTGCTTCAGAAGGTTTGGTATCTGAACTGGCACCAGTTTGCATCTTTTGTACTACTTTGACAACCAACGATTTAAACTGGTTTTCTATATTCTACTTAAAGTTTCTGCTAGTAAATCTGGGTTTCATGACTCCCTCTAAACATCAACTACCAGCATTAGGTCGCTTTGTGTTGTTTTTGTTTGGTGAGAGGTCGTAACCTGTCATATTTCTTAGTTGGCTCAAACGGCAATCAACACTAATAGAAATGGTGATACGATCAAATACATAGTTATTACAAAATAATAGCTGACCAGTTTTATTATCATCTCTATAATTTGTGAAATACTGAACTAGAATTAAAAAAGTTAACAAATACAGCATGGCTGGAGTAAAAGGGTGCATAACGGTTTGTTGACAGGTAGAAAATGGACAGATAGAGTTGGTGAAGGAGTGACTGACTCAGATTTAGCCCACAAGGGGATAATGACCAAAGGTAAATTAAAAGTAGGTGCTACAAAATTTTTAATACAGCAATGTATACAACTACATAAAATCATATGTCAGATTGTATCATTTTTATGAGCATTCATTTTCATAGTTCATGGAAATAATTCCAAACATAATAGTTCTTGTACATGGATACAAACTGGTCTAGTGGTGCAAAACTGAACAAGACGGGGGAGAAATGTTAACATTTTAAAATAAAACGGGGTAGAAAGTAGCAAATAGGTAAACTGACTCACAGCCAAATTTTTATTAATTTCTTTACTTTGTCCTTTTGATTTGGGGTGTCATACCAAAAATACAGATAGAACCGGCGACCTCCATTTAGAAACCTCCTGGCTAAAAGTAAAATTATTTTACTTTTAACAATCTAAATTCTGAGATCTACAGCATTCCTTTACTTACTGACAGAACTGAGAATACCCAGAGTGCTTATGTAAAGTCCAATCTGTTGTACTCATTAAATTTGCCAACAGCTGGAAGGCCGAGATGTATATTTTACGCAATGCATTAACAAAAAGCAATACGCTAAGAGAAGCCTGGCATTTTATCAATTCTAGCAACTCAAATTGCATATCGCTCTGATTGATTGATAGCTTTTGGGCTCCTTACCGTATTCTTTGCTTATTAAAAGTGCCTGCCTGATGGGAATAAGTGAGCTGCTCTCATGAATATCGTTAAAGTTGCTGAAGTTTAATTTCCTGTGCTGTGTATTAATCTTTTTTAATCCCTGCATGGTTTGATTGTCTCAACACCTTCCCAGAGGCAGTAAAACTCATTTTGGCACTTACGATGACTGGAATGGTGGATGCAGACGTGTGTGTGTGTGTGTGTGTGTGTGTCTGAGAGCTGGAGAGACTCAAGATCTACCTTATGTCCAGTCTTACATTGTCTATCTTTGCATGGATTTTGTTTTTTTTTTTGTAGAAAATCGTACTTTCTACGATTATGTTTCTTCTGTACATGAAAGTAAATAGTTTGCTCTTATGTAAGTTGATTTCATAGGCCAGCAGATTGTTTCTTACCTGTAAAATATAAACACCGCTCAAAAGAACAAACAAGATGTTTCACTCAAAGCAATGTCAACAGTGCCTCATTAGCCATCTGATCAAAGCGTTTCATATCAAACGTCTACAATCCTTGTTTTTTTTTTATCATGCAGCCAAACAAAAAGAGACATGCCCTTTTTTGTGCATTTCAATTTTGCACGATTTGATACCGTTGCACATTAGTGCCTGGGATGTGGCAACAGAGCATAAAACAGAAGCATCACATGCAAGGGACTGCTGAGAAGAAACCATGACTTTCAGAGTGTCGGTGTGAATGAACACAAGTGAAAAAGACGTTTGGTCTCCAGCTTGATCTATGTATTTTTTAAATGCCATTAGGTTGTTGCAGGTAGTAGTAAATGCTGCTTTTTTTTTTGCACTATAATGCAAATTATTTAGCACTAAACTTTTGTTCCTCACTGTCTCTAACTGCACTGAGTCATATGGGCTGTTCTTAGCCGTCAGATAAAACTTCTGGTTCTGAACGGGGCAAAGTGGGCATGAAGAGAACCGGTTACCTTAGACTTTTTATCAACAATGCTGAATACAAACCATCACAGACGTACCATAAAACTGGGTTACAATCATGATGACTTGTGTGTGACTGAGTGGACAAAGACATTGAAACATCTTGTTTCAGAAAAAGAACCTTTGGCACTAACATTTAAATACTCACCTCAGATGTTCCTAGATGCTCTCCTGATTGTCTGGAACGTTGTATAGAAAGTCTTACAAAAGTACCGACACCCCTTGAACTTTTTTTTTCTTATACATTTTTCACTTTACAATCACTAATGTAAATGTATTTTATTGAGTTTTCCTCTCAACCATATTTTAATCCTGGATTTTCTTGAATTTAGCTCCACCCGTTTGACCAGTTGGCACGGGCCTCTTGGCTGTCCAGACTATCAGTTCAGGTGCAGAGGCATTTCTTGTAAGGTTTGCTGTTCTGCCACACCGATTCCATTTTCAGATGATAAATTGAACAATGCTCTGTCAGATATACTGTTTTATAACCTAACCCTGCTTTAAACTTCGACACAACTTTGTCCCAGGCTTTTCTTTGTGTTGCTACTTGCTCTCTAATGCTATGCTACAGTTCAGTTGCACACAAGAACTATATGAAAATATACATTTATGTTTGTGACTGTAACAATACCAAATGTTGGAAAGTATAAGAAGTACGACTATTTTTCCAGAGGATCATACGTTATCCATTGTGTGCCCATTGGGAGTCTGATTTCCTGTTGTTTTGACCAATCTCCAGGGATTAGCTGACCAATACTCTGCTCATGAGACCTTGGCTGATCCTCAGGAGGGTTATCTGCAGCCAGTTAGCGCATGACAGACAGCAGCATTCCTCCCCTGTAAACCTGAATGGAGTCACATCTCACCAGACTCCGAGGTTAATGTATAGCCTTTCATTTGGTAAGGTTAGGGCCCGCTTGTCCATTTTTCTTCCTCAAGGGTGCCCTCGCAGATATGAAATACAGCCAGCAGACGTTTTCTCTTTTTTTGTGTGTGTGGTTAATGAGTACACTGCCGTGACTACCGTGCAGTTTATAGTTTGTTCCATAACTCAGCCTGAAAAGTGAGGCTATGCTTGCTTCTTCCAAAGACTTCTTGGGGGGAAGAGAGAGAATAAAGCAAATCTGACAAGCTCTCCAACAGCGAATTTGCTCCCCTTAAAAACAATGCCGCTCTTGCCTTCCTCATGGTCACATTGATTTGTTCTGGGTGACAATGCAGGCTGCTGTGAAATCACCCCAGCGCCATTGATCTCAAGGAGAAGAGGAGGAGAGGGAATGAGAGGCTGGCGACAGAGCAACATGGGAAAA